ACAACCCGCTTGGAAAACAAACCCCTACATTTCTAATTGTTACATTTACCACAGTTTGTTAACAGTTTACACAACAGTGATTTCATCCGACAAAATCTCCTTTCCTCTACAATGCAAATTATGGCACAATATGATTTGACAAATAACTGATGGGTGTGCATAGTACAACTGCAAGATTGTGGTTCGTGACGAGTTATGTAAGTGGTATGTGTCTGTACAGAATGGGGGATTGCAAACGTTAAATTACGAAGACTTTGACGCTATGTTTTAAAATGAATTTACCTGGCAGCTTCCATTTCAAAATAACCGAGTTAAATTAAATAGCGATTGTATCAATGATCTTGAAGTAAAATGGATAAACAGGAAGTTAGTTTTATTTTAAAAGCAGACTGGTTATATCAAAATAAAAGTGACGTTTGCTTGGTGTAGAAGGAAAACAAATTTAAATGAGTGTGAAATAAATAATTTAACTCTCTATATAATGTTATAAACCTAGAAAAATCTTTATTTTCCCCCCAAGATTTTGGCATTATGTGAAGTGCATAATGTAATACGTATAAATATCTGCATATAACTATGTATAAAGTTAATTGTATTCTGATATAATTTAAATATTAAAATATCTGAACTATATATTTTTCATTAAAATGATTATCTAATCATTTCCTCATAATTTAACTTATTGTCTTTCAACTCAAATCCTAAAATTTGCTTTAAGTTTTAAAGCTGAACTCGCCTAACACCCTTCCCCCCCCAAAAAAATACACACATAAATATTAATATATTGCAAACTGCTGGATAACAAATGTCTGCATATTGGTTTATAACATACCATAATCTGAAACATGTTACATTTCGACAGATTATCATTCAAACTCCGGGAATTAGCAGAGTAATTTTTCCTTACATTGTCCATAAAAAATTTCCAATGACTACATTAACTTTTACTAAGTACCATCAGTTGCCTGGTGTATATTTCTTGCTGAGTAGTTCACATTCAGGTTTACTCTTCTCCAAAGCAGTACCTATATATACAGTAACGACAACATACTTTTCAATATATGCCTATATTGTTTTCAGCATACAAACACAGCTAATCTGTTTCTGGGCATCTCAACTGTAGCGACAAGGGAAATGAGTTGCTGTCGATCTTTAAGAATTCAAAGAGACAAAAAAGTGGAGAAAAATAATCAGATTGGTCCTATTGCCATTGAAGTCATTGGGAGATTTTCCATTTAAAATAATTAAATGGGAGCAGGATTGGGCCGACTTGTTTTGATTCTGGTTGAAATGGTTTGTCTTCTGGTTGAAAAATATTAGTTCTAAAGCCAGTTTATTATTACCTGGAGACTTGATTCTAAAAAGAAAATGTAAGTGAATGTAAATGACTTCCTAGTGTTTACAAACGAGATTTAAGACGAAAAAAGTGCTTAATTTTACATGCTTTTTAAAACTCCCGTATTGTTTTTTTCTGTCCATTAATAGTATTATTCACTATTTTATTAAGTATAATGAATCTTATCAAGTGGAATGAGATTTACCATGAGTTTTCTTTGAAGCTCTTTTGATGGAGACAGAGAGAGTCCAACCAGTTTTAAAGTTCTGCTTTATTTCTGAAATGATTTAAAATTGTGTTCTCGCTTATCTATTATTACTTTGGCTTTTGAAAGCTTTACTCTGCTCTTAGTACGTTTGCATTTGTACTTGCAGTTGGCAATGCTCTCTATGGACAATACAGTCTCGATGTGTAGTCAACAAAAATACCATAGCAAAATCGTATTCCTTAGTAAGTACTGGTCATATCATGTCATCGATTTTTAAGCAGAACTCTCCTGTGAAGTCATCGGAGACTTCAGCTTTAAAAAGATGACACTATATTACTCCGGTCTGCATAAGATTAAATCGATTAAACAAAAATAAGTTAGAAATATAAAATATATTATTTTCATCTATGGTAGTTAAACACAATTAAAAATAGAGCTCCGTCCTACAATTTCTACTGCTGCAAAACTTCTATTAACTTCAATTGACGTTTTCCCCGAGGAAGGAATGCAAGATCGAGTCCCTTAATTGTACAGTAGCTATAATCAGGACACGTATAGAGTAGCTGAGGATATTTATCTCCAATATATATATATATATATATATATATAATGTTAATGCCACGTCATGTCGTGATAAAAATATATGTTAAGTAATTAATAAAATGCGCATTTCTGAAAATTCCTTGGTTGTAGGTGGTTTGACTTTTAAAGATTTGCATATGAGGGTCCAGTCCTGCGCCAACTGAAGCCAAAGGCAAAATTCCTATTGAAATCAATGGTCGCAAGAAGCGCCTTTACATTGTATTTGGTTTACCCCCAAAAAGTTTTGAGTCCATTTCTGTCTGAGGTATACCTACTAATCACGGTGTGCTTTATAACATTCAGAATGGAAAATGAGAAAGGGCCTTATGACATCTTAAGATTTTCTATGTAAAGAAATAAAGGCGACCAGATAAACCAAATACCGAGTTTGAACAAATTAAAAAGTGAACATTATACTGCAAAATAGAAAAGTACCAAACTGATCATTCTAATCCGAAATGTTAGAAGAAATCAAACCAGTTTCTGAGTTTTATAATTAATATCTTTTTTTATCTCGTTGTGATTGCTAGATGCACGTGAACAGCTAAATAGAATAGACTTCCGTTGGAATTTTTTTGGTGGTGTCACTTTCCAGATATATTCTGGGAAGAAGAGTTTTTCCCCATGGGAAAGAAATGACAAGGGTTATTTCCCAAAGACCTTCCTGTGGGTTTGTGCAAAATGCACATCCACAAAGGTATCTGATATTGAATAAATGATTGATCTCCAATGTGCTTAGTGCCTTTAAGATCCATTGAACTTGACACTGAGGGCGGCTAGAGTCTAGCAGGAAGTGCTCAGCAACTTGGGGGATCGAGACCAGCAACCCACGTTTATATATATATATATATATGCTAAGCGTCTAGCATTTTGTTTAAACGCGCAAAGCTGGAATGAGCAAGCACTCTGGGCACGTGTCTTGCAAGAACTCCTGCCAGGGGAGCCCATTCTTTCGTGCACCTGGATCTACTCTTGAGATGAGCTGCATCAGAAGTGAAGAAATAGGAGCTGTCCTCCATCTAGTCCAAGAAAGGGCCCTTTCTCTTGTACAGACGTTCCCAAGCAACTCTGCACTTAATCATTTTCCAACAAAAGATACCTGTGGAAATCAGGTACATTCCCATAATAGAGGGGTAGGGTAGAATGGGGGCGGGGGAGAATCCTTTTGAATTCCGTCTGGTAAGAGTCTGTCTCGGCCAAATCCATGACATAATGCTATTCACAACAGACACCTGTGCAACAAAGCTATAATGTACCTGGATCAGATTTTAATTTGCTAGTTCTGCGGGATAGATCTTCAGAAAAAGAATGAACCATTTAAACAAGTTGCGTGCGTGCATGCTGTGTGCAGTATATATTTGTATAAATGATATACGGATACATACACATACTGTATATAGCATATAGACATTTAAAAACTCTCTCTGTGTATATATCTATAACTAGATGCTGATGTGGCAGATTTAGGTTTCACTTAGAAAACTTCACCACAAAGTGCCACTGAAGAATCAAGGATCACGGTCAGAAAACAAAAATAAGCATTTTTTACTCTGGGCTATGCTGCTTTTTGATTTAGACATCCGAGTGCCTCTTCCCCCTTATACAGGTCCCTGTGAGCCGGGGATTAGTGTTTGCCCCCTCTAAGTCACTCTCCTTCTTTGGGACAGAGCTAAACAATTATCCGCTAAAACAGGGACCCTAACCCTATGACAACTTTCCACTTAATCTCCAGTAAATGCTTCCCACCAGATAAACCAGGGACAAAAGGAAGCAGACCCAAGTAATCAACAGTTTTATTCAAAAACTAAAATGCAGGGAAAGCCAGATTTATCCCTGCCTGCTAGGAGAGGAATACAAAGCTAAAGAAAAACAATGCATATGCCTAGCATTTTGTTAAACAGGTTTGGTAACACGGAAAATAAATATGGTAAATTAAATACATTTGTTAAATACAAACGACATAGGTCCCTTTTAAAAAGTCTATATGATTTTTTAAAAATATCAAGCAGTAAGAAGTGGAACATTTCAAGGTCATGTCATGCTCAGTCCAAGAGGATTACTGTATATTCGCTAAGAAAAACGGCCCAAACTTTATACTTCGTATGTAATCTGTGAATTTACTCCATATTATTATTGCTGAAATTTCTTTCCTTCAGAAATATTTATTGTCCCTAGAGAGGTAATCAAACTCAATAATACGTGTTAAATAAACTTGTCTGTATCAAGCAAACTAGATCACTGGAATATTTATTCCAATCTATGACTCAATTTACCTCCCGACCTCCCATACGTCCCCCCGGAGACCAGCAGTTGGTCTTGTTTCAAATCAACGTGGAAAATGCTTTCGGACATTCTCCTTAAATGCTTTTGGAAACATACATATCAAACGAAATACAGATATTTAAAGACCTTTCGGGGATTCAGAAACAGGCACGCGACAGAACATAAAAATAAAATAAAAGTATACACCTATTGCTCCAATAAGTGTTAGCACACATTTTTGTCTGGCCCCTTTGAATTATTTTACAGTAGGAATTAGAAATCTGTTCGTTTTAGTGACGTAAATCCCTGGCCGTTTGTTGCATTGATTTCACCGAATTGAAAGCCAACATTAAAACCTTTCATCGTTTCATTCTCTAATAAATGTTCCCCCTTTACGTTGATTTCTGTTTCTTTTCAACACCTAGGCGGGCAAATTCCTAACACCTTTTCTTAACTGAGGCTAGGAGCACCACTGCATTTGTGTGCTGGCCAGCAGCCTCACAGAGCCAGAGGAGGGGAGTGAAAACGCCAGTGATCCTGCACAGGGAGAAGAGATTTCACAGCAACTTAGCAAGCAAACAAGACAAAAGTTAAAGAGTGATGGCACGATACCTTGCCCCCGGTCACTCAGACGTGCGCTTCCCATTTTGTACATGATGAAGAGTTTTGGTAAGTGCTTTTTATATTTGGTTTGGTTTGTCTATATAAGCTCTGCTCCTGTACTGTACAGAGAAACGCCCGTTGATGGACTACAGTGTTAATTAACGCAGTGCTAATTTGAGTAAGAGGAAATGGAGGTGGAACTAGGTGCAGCAAGACTGCGATGGGCCAGTGACCTCTAGTGGCGAATCAAGGACATACAGTTCGGATGAACTATCACAGGAGAATAGACAGCAAATTTCCTCACGGCATCTTCCCCTTCCCCTCCAACAGTTTACTTGAGGTAGAAGGGTCTGTGCGGTTCTCCAGTTGGAAAAAGTAAACTGTGTAAAGCACCAGCGCGGAAGATGTGATTTAGCTCAAGTGGCTTAATCTAGCTGCACTGTCAGTTAAAAAAAAATAACAACATTTCTGACTGACTGACTGACTTTTTCGGGGGTGGGGGAGCAGGGAGGATTTGGAACATTTGGGGCTGGGAAATGCTCAAGACATTTGCGGTCACTGTTAACACCACCCAGGGTCATGCTGCATCAGAAGCTACCTCCCCAAATATCACCGTAGGGGAAACAAACAAACAAAAATGTCACTCAGCAAATAGAGATTAGCAGTCAGGACTTTATTGCAAACTTGAATAAACAAGTAAAATGCAGGAAAAATATTACTTGTGTAAATAACAAAAGTGACTATCAAACATAACCCCTCTTCCTTCTTCCCTTCCTCTCCCAAATTGAAACGATTAGGGTTATTAAAACGTTAGAAAATATTTAAATTGGGAATTATTTTAACCACCAGATAGTTACAGAGCATTATAAATGGCTTCGAGGTACCTTTAATACGAAAAGAGTTTATGGATGCAATCACTTTGTAGCATATTTTAGAGCTTGAGCATATAGTGCAGTGTGTCTGCAACGTGAAACACCTCATGTGTTAAACATAACCACGTATTTAATTCTTTACTTTCGTTGAGCCCAGTAGCAACCAGAATGAAACTTTGAAAATGGGATAGAATCAGTTAAAATAATTCTAAAAAGGCAATTAGAGCAAACTCGTGGTTGTGGCTTTTTGGAGATGCCTAATGCAGCATTCTTGTTTAGTTTAGTTTAGTTACATTCCATAGCAAATAATGTACCAGGAAATGACAGCTGGAAAAAAAAAAGACAATTCGCAATTAGTATTTTAAGGTAATCTTTACAACTACCTTTACTGTAATCAGCCCTTTTTGGGTATGACCCTTTGTGCCTTTATCCCACACCTTGCAATCTAGATCTTTGCACTTTTCTTTCCGCTGTAGATAATAGTTTTAAGATTCATAAGAAAGAAAGAAAAGAAAGAAAGAAAGAAAGAAAGAAAGAAAGAAAGAAAGAAAGAAAGAAAGAAAGAAAGAAAGAAAAAAGAATACCACGCAGTGCAGTGGAAAATTAAACCCAGTGTAAAGTTAAAAGTAAGCACAAGGGCAATTTCTCAATATTCATTCTCTGCCAAAAACCTTCAAACCAAAATCAGTTTTAAATCTTGAATATAAAAGCGCCGTTCTGTTAGTAAATTATTAGCTAATCCTAATGCAGAAAAAATGAGAGATTTCTGCCGGAGCACGAGGAGGGGCTCATGTATGTACACTTACTACTAGATATGGAATTACTTCAAAGTCTTGTAATGTCTTGACTTAGAAAACTCTGCTCTGGAAAACAGAAGAAAAGTAGAGCAGAAACTCAAATTAATCAAATAGAGAAAGAGAACATGGTATAGGGAAAACTTGCAAACCACTCTAATAAGGAACTGAAGATGTCCGATCGCTTCGGAGGGCGGAACACATTTCAGAAACTAAAAAGGGCAACATACTTAAAAAGTGAAACAAACGTACTGTATGAAGAAGATGGGACAAAAGTCCCAAAATTCGGTTAGCTTAGCTGCCTGGAAAAAAATATTGAGCCAACAGAAATAATTGACACAAAAGTGACTACAGATTTCGAATAAAAGTAGGGAATGTATGGGGAAAATTAGAGAAACGAAAGCATTTAGTCAATTTCAGCGTAAAAACATCACACACAAAGGGGTCTTACTGCAATTAGCCAAGTAAAAATGTTGAGATAATGGCATGGGTTAATAAAGAAAACGATGAAGAGAGAATGAGGGGAGGGAAGGGGAAGCCATCACTAGAAACTTTAAAATCTCTCAGCTAGGAGAAAAGAGCTTCCTCTTACTATATTGATTTTTATCTTCTGTTTAACCCAGAAAGAGTTTATACCACTCATGGCAGAAAATTGCCCTCCAGGTTCTATAGTTAAACAGAGCAGGGTCGTTTTGGTCCAGGTTAGAGATTAAGGACTATTATTAATATACAGTGTAATGAAGAGACTGATCGAAATACCCACGTAGTTACTGATCCAAGATACACTTTTTCAAAAAGTAAGTACAGTAGCCACACCGGCTTGATACATTTTCTATGCCGTGACAGGCAAGAACTGGTTTTTGCTCTTAAATAAGGGAACCAATATCTGGCGAAAAACAAACAAACAAACAAAAACAAACCACCTTTCCTTAAAACAAAGAGACAAAATATATTAACTCCGCCCATACGCTGGATGTTCACCACCAATGTGGGGAAAGGTCCATATAGTTAGGTATCTTTCCCACATTAGTGAAGTCTGGAACTACCACAAGGAGAGAGAACTGGTTTTGCCCCACAGATGTAACAATTCTAGACTTGCTGGGACGTGCACGCAAGCAGTGAACAGTGTGGGTTTTGAATCCTTATTTTCCTAGCTCTGTAGAGAATTTTCTGAACAACCTTTTCTTTCCCATTTAAAGGCAAATGGCATTAGAATTGATAAGAACCGCTGGCACATGAATCTTTTACCTGCACTAAATGAGAGCAGGCGGATAGATCAGAGATTCTTTAAAACATGCAAATAGCGGGAGGTTAAAGCCTAATAATAATCTGTGATCTAGAATTAAAGATCTTAATAGTCATCACCCACTAAATCAATCTACCGACAGAGTCCATCATCCATGTTTTATTTATTAGAGAAACACCTGTCAGGTTATCCTGGGGAAATCTACATATTTTAACCAACAGCTTCAGTACAATGAATTTAGGACTGGATTATTTGCAGTTTTCTTCCTTTCCAAAATCACTTGCACTCTGTGCAGAGATTGCAGGAGCGCTAGTCAGCTGAAGGGTTTCCAGAATATGTATTCCCGGACATAAGTATCCACTTCTCTAGAACTTCATGCCATGTGTCTGGTTACTTTCCGAGCAGTGGACAATATTACTGACACACACATAAGTATTTGAAGCCGATTTCTGAGCATTAAGATCCCCTCTCGCTTTTCCCTTCCATAAAAGATCTCGCTATTTTGGTGCAAGTACGTGAGATGAAACAAAGGGGACATTCCGCATGAAAGAATGAAATGCATTTGAAGAGTTCATGGGCTAACATTGAAGGAATTGCTAAAGCACCAGCATCACCATCAGCATTATCCCTGCCTTGATATTCATTCTCTGGAGAAAGTTCAGAGGCAAAAAGCAAATTTCTAACCCACTTTAAAGTCAGAGGTTTCCATGCGCTTGCATGATGGTTTATATCTATGGAGTTGTATTAACAAAGTTCTCTCTAGTCTTCTTCAACAGTGGATCAAAGGGAATGATAGGACTGAACTGATCTTAAACTGGTTGCTCAGTTGTGATATCCCCCAGTGGAAAAGCTTTAATCTCAGAGAGAAGTAGGTGTCCCATGCCATGAAATACAGTATCTCCTCACTTACAAGAGATTTCCATTCATTTGTGTTTTCTCATAGATTCTCATACAGTGATGGCTATTTCTAATGTCCTAATAGCTTCTATTGATTTTTTTCCTTATAATTGCTTTTAGGAAACTACGTCGGAGTCCAATGGATCGTTTTGTTTGTGGAATCAAAGCTCACCAAAGAGTGAAACAAACCACTGGATATCCTTGAATGCTGTATTTTGTATCTTGGTCACTGATTTAGCCCATAAGCGTGTAAAAATTCACTGGGGCTATTGTATAAAATCTATACAGCTGAGCAGACTCATGTATCTTGTTTATTTAAGCAGGAGAATGATTAAATTTGCTCTAGAGATACACTAGTTTCAGGCAAAAGCATGCAAACTACCCAGTGTATAAAGTTCCCAAATTTAAGCAAACCACAACCCCTTTTCAAAATCTTGCATCACAAGTGTATTAGACAAACATATATGCCTTTTAGCAGACAGAAGTTTCCTGGCACAGCTGTGGTTCTGAGTGGATGCTGCTGCTAAAACATTGCTAAAATAACCCCAAACAAGTGATACTCCGGCTTGCGGTGCTATGCGTGTGCTGATCAGAGATCAGAATTGAGCCCTCAGTGTTGCGACATCATTGAAAAACTCAAACAAGGGGAAGATACTGATCTTAAAGGAGGAGACTATTCTTTGTGCACAGATATTTTGGTAACTAATATCAATCAGTAAATAATAAGAAAATATATGAAATAGATTAAAGCAACATACTTAGGCTTAATTAAATAACCTGTCTGTCTAACCCAGGATTTCCCGATTTTTTTCCCTTATGGACCTCATTTTATAAGATACATTGTTTTGTGGACCAATTCCTATCCTACATTGAATTGTTCAGATCACTTCCCTTCCCCTTCATGACTGGAGCAACTACAATTTCTTAAAGGGGAAAGTCATATTAGGAAAGTATCGAAGGTCGTTTTCACCATCTTTTCATGCCATTTGGCAGATGGAAAGGAGAAGGAGAGTTGAATCTCATGACCAGACAGCTCTCTGCAGAACACCAGTAAGTTGTTCTATGGATCAGAATAAGAGTTGCTTGTCTAATTCCAAAGATATGGTTTATATAGCACACGTAGTATCTTAGAACCTTCTTGTGCCCTCAGTTTATAAAAGGACTCCCCATCACAGACAATAGAGAGTTGTATTTAAAATTCGATGGCAGGTTGTAGCCCATACTGTTTACAAATTATTTCTCTGGAATGGGGCTCTTTAATCACAAGAAGTTCAGAGGTGAATTGACACGCACACAAGCAGGTGCCCTCTATTTCTGCTTCCTATTAGCCTGCACAGTTAAGGGAGATCTTCCCCCACATCTCTGCCCTGCCACTGCCCCTTTGCCCTCTGTTTTTATCAAAAAAGAAAACCTAATTCCATGCGAGATTGGAACTCAGAATATATTAATGAATGGAGATTATCTATACAACAGGGAACAGGCGCCTGTCAATTATAGGGCTCTCCTCTGGTTTCTCTCCAGATTGTACCAATCTTTCCCTTTTACAAGACTAAGTTGCCACTGAGAGTAAACTTCGAGTTTGTAGCATTAGCAGAAAACTGCAAAGCCCTCTTTAGCCCTAGCCTGATTATAAACTGCCCCTAATTCAAAGTCAGCTTGTCTTAATTTTACACGGGTAAAATACTCAAATCCTGATTCTGAATCCATCATTGCTTCTTACTATTATTGTTTGCAGTGTTGGAGGAGTTGGTCTCAGGGTAGTAGAGAGACAAGGTGCGAGATGTGATATCTTTTATTGGCCCAGCTTGTGTTGGTGAGAGAGACAAGCTTTCTAGCTACAGAGAGCTCTTCTTCAGGTCTGGGAAAGGTACTCATCCCTCCTGTTCTTCTCCTTTCCCTCCTCCTGGCACTGTTGGATATTGAGCCGGATGGAGGGTTTTAGTTTGTTCATTTGTTTGTTTTCCAGAAAAATTTAACAAACATGATTTTGTTTGTTCATTTTCATTGTTTTCAGCAGGAAATGTTGCCGTTTAACTGAAAATCTGAAAACCATTTTTTTCTGGCTTTCTGCAACTGAAAACCATTTTTTTAGGGGTCAGACATCCCTCCAGTCTTCCTCCCCAAATCCAGCCCAAGAGGATGGGCAGTTTCATCTGAACATTCCTGGGTTTTGTTTCTCTCTCTGTCTCTCTTTCTCTCTGAAAGCAGACCCTTTTCATGAACACCTTTGTTTCGTTAAAAGCCCATTTTTTCCCAGAAGAAATAGTTTTGAAGGAGAATTTTTGACTGGCCCTATTTGCCTCTCCATCCACTCAGCTTGGAGTGAGCTTTTCTCATTCTCCCCCTTCTCCTCTTTAAGATCCCCTTTCTGCAGAATCTAAGCTTTCATTTTTTTTAAAGTATGTTTCTAGCCCTCCTGTTGGCAAAGTTAATATTCCAAATGCCAAAGGGAGATACTGATGCAGTGTTGCCTTCCAGTATCTGCAGTCAGCCTGACAAAGTGACTGAGCAGTGTGAACTCCCCTCTTCCATTAATCTCTGTTTTTACTTGT